GGTTAGGTTAGGTTAGGTTAGGTTAGCTTACGGTCACCTACACATGCCTGTAATGACATATTTAATCACAAAAAGGGTCGATAATATGAAATCCACGAGTCGTTTGTGTAACGAAGTTGTTGAAAAAAAAAATTCGTGCAAATCTCAACGCTTTCCAATTGTTGCTGATTTCTGTTTTTCATTTTGTCATATCCTTATTCCCCCATTTACCTTTCATTCGTTCTTTCATTTCATTCCAAACTATTCCAGTGGTTCTGTCACTATATAAACTTCACCTCCATTAAAAATCTATTACCAATAAATTAAACAAACTTATCAGTGGGGAAATTCATTAGGTGCGAGTAAAACCTACCTAGCATGTGTCAGTAGGCGCTGCCAATAGGCCTACTGCAATATTCCTCTATTCTCAAAAACATTTTTCTGATTTATCTTTTTGTATATGTAATTCTAATTCAATAAATTATTAGTATAGCAGAAAATAAACAATTACTCTCTCAATAAATATTATCATACACTTCCTTTCTTGACGGCAAATACTGTGGCAATATATCCTGCACTTTCAAATAGAGCTTTTATCAATTTACAAACATACACCTGGAGTGTACGTGGCTAGTTAAAATAATCATGCATATACATTTTTCGTGTCGTGTCAAAAGTCCTGATATGCAGGCATTTCCCCGTGTATATCAGACTTGTTCCAGTATTTGTGTACACGTGGGAGAAACCACAATGAAACCAGTGACTGCAAATAAAGAAAAATACGTGACTACAAACTCAAAAAAAAAAAAAATACAATATTGAAGAAACGAAGAGGAATAATTCAAGCACCTTTGCGTATATACGCACTTGTCTTCAGGAGAGACAGTAAGAAGAAACAAGGGTGGAGGCACACTATGTGTTTTTGAGTCAGGCGACGCCTCAGCGTTTTAAGCTTTAAGAATGAGATTTAATAAACGCTGCAGGGGGCCTACTGGCCCACACTTGCTCGTTAACTATATATAAACACTACAGGAGGCCTACTGGCCCACGATAACTCAATAAGTATACTGCACAAACACCGTAGGCCTACTGGCCTACAGTAACAGACCACGTATCAATCAGCTTACTAACGTAGTGTTAGTCTAAATGGAAAAATAATTTGCGGACACACAATTTCAGGTTAATGCTAAATAACTCACCAGTCAGATGTAAAACTCTATTGTCAAGCCTATAATAGGAATAACAATTTATCAACTAAATTGAAAACGGTGTACAGACAGTCTCAATAAATCAGCAACTGTATCAGCAGATGTATATACGTCACACCTTTCAACGGAATAACGACCTTTAACGGTCGTCAAAAGGACATCGAGTAAAAATTTTAGGTCATAGACTAAACTGCTAAGTTGCGCTGAGTATTATAATGATAAAATATTTTCATACTAAGATTACGAACTATGTATTAGACAATAAAAATGTCAGGCTTACCAGAAGTCAAGCTTGAAACGTGCTGTGCGTGCTTAATAAGCTGCGATTCCGCTATATTTCACCGAAGTACAGAATTGCAAGGGAGTAATTCTTTGGAATTACTCCGATGTATATAGTGGCGTGTATCTCACCGCGAGGCCTGGTCATGGACCTGACCGCGGGGGCGTTGACCCCCGGATCACCCTCCAGGTATACTACAGATATACCCCCTCGCACGGATAAACAAAGCACTGCCTTCCTGGTCAGTAGTTACTGTGTGTTAATTCTGTTGAACTCCAGTCGCTAGCGATTTCCTAATTTGACTAAGGTAAACGATAGCGCGGCTTTTGTATCTTTTCCATCACCTATTTTACGAGGAATACTTTTTTTACGAGAACTTTATATTCAAGTGGAGACAATTTATATACCAGATGCCTTTATCGTTTTATTATTAAACTGAAGTCATCATAATTCTTAAATAAAAAAAATACGTAATTTTTGTCTTACGAAACTACAAGACAAAATTCCAAAAACTAATTTTGTATTTGCTACGAGAGGTACAGGGACACTTTCCCATGCATAAGACTGAAAATAATAATAAAAGAAATGTGTAATAATACCTTGACTGTAACACTTCCCGACTTCTCCATTTAGAAATTTAAGAAGACGTTTCGGTCCGTCGAAGATAATTAAGTCACGGGTCTCAAGTTTCCTCTCTGAAGTGAGGATTAGTTGTGAAACTCAGTAGCTTGTAAAAGAGGAGAATTTGTGAGCTTATTACGATGTTTCTGTCTCTAGTGGCAAGAGATGCGACGTTTTAAGCCAGATTGTGGACACCACCAAAGCCAGTCTGTGGACACCACCAGAGCCAGTCTGTGGGCACCACCTGGGCCAGTCCGTGGACACCTCCAGAGTCCGTGGGCACCACCAGAGGTAGTCTGTGGATACCACCTGGGCCAGTCTGTGGACACCAACAGAGCCAGTGTGTGGACACCACCATAACCAGTCTGTGGACACCACAAGACGTGGTCCTTGGACACCACCAGAGGTAGTGTGTGTACACCACCAGAAGTGATCTGTGGACACCACCAGAGCCAGTCTGTGGACACAGCCAGAGCCAGTCTGTGGACACCACCGGAGATCGTCCGTGGACACCACCGGAGGTGGCCGTGGACACCACCAGAGGTGGTCCGTGGTGAGATGCACGCTATCTTCGCCAGGTATTGTCCTCTCTTGCAGTCAGAGAATTGTGTTCAGGACTCAGCAGGGCAAACTAACCAACAGGAAGCCCTTTATCCACTCGCTGTGTACATCATCAACTGATATATGGTTGCTGAGGGAAGCTGCTTCTGTCTTCCACTTAATCGAATTTTTGGTTATGTCTTCTCAAGCGGAGGATCAGTTGTGGTGCCACACACTTCGTGGTGAGTTTGATGTAAGTCGGTACGTCGTTCACTGTCTCCTGCAGGCAGCTTTATTGAGTCACCTGAATTACGTTTTGGAGATTGTGAGGAGCATATGTGCTGGAGCAGCCAGAGGCTTCTTCAGTCTAATTATTTGATTCCTCTTCCATTGCTTTTTGGTCCAAAGAACAGTGGAAGAGGAGGAGGAATTTGAGGTAAATCAGCCCCCTCAGTCTGGAGTTGATATATTCAGTCCAAGTTTGATGGAGTGAACACATCAGCTCCAGGCTGAGGGACTGACTACCTCAAACTCCTCCTCTTTATTTTCCACCGTTCTTCTTCGTAACGAGCTGAAGAAGCCACTGGTTGGCGAAACGTTTCCTCAGTTGAGATTCCTAAATGTTGCATAAGTGTCTCATTCTTCATCTGATCACATACTTAGTGTTGTACTCACCCCGAGGTCTTGAGTTACCACTGTCCCGACCAAACCCTGCATTCCTTATCCCTATTATTTAAACCATACATTTACTGACACTGAAATCGTTAAAACATGCCCTCGTATGCTTAAAAATTATAGCGAAGGGACAAAATAACTTAATTTTCGAGAGAATGTAAATTAAACAGCTTAAAGCTGAACTTAGCGACTACGATTCCGGGGTTTTGTTTACAGTGAGGCAATTTGATTTTCCCCGTACGTGTGTTTTTGGACCAGCGTATTGCTGTGGTCAGCGCCTCTCTACCTTCACCTGAGGCAACCTACGCTCCTCGCTATATTTTTCAAGTATATTTACATTGTAACACTCCATTATTTTAACTTGTGGAAAATATCTTTCTTGATTTTTTTTAATGTATAATTTTACAGATACTGATGATGGCGAATGATCAACGAAATATTAAACTTTAATACACTGATTATAATTTAATAATAAAGAAACATAATGAAATATATTTTTTTCGTTAGGTTCAGAAAGATTTTTGCGATATTACTGCATGCACAAATTTTAGCTTGCCTTATTCGGCAAGAAGAGCATTACTATTTAAGCCAAAATCGCAAGTTTTAACTATTTGGCACGATATATATATATATATATATATATATATATATATATATATATTAGGTAGTAGGTTGGTAGACAGCAACCGCCCAGGGAGGTACTACCGTCCTGCCAAGTGAGTGTAAAACGAAAGCCTGTAATTGTTTTACATGATGGTAGGATTGCTGGTGTCCTTTTTTCTGTCTCAATGAACATGCAAGATTTCAGGTACGTCTTGCTACTTCTACTTACACTTAGGTCACATACACATACATGTACAAGCACATATAGTACACACCCCTCTGGGTTTTCTTCTATTTTCTTCTAGTTCTTATTCTTGTTTATTTCCTCTTATCTCCATGGGAATGGAACAGAATTCTTCCTCCGTAAGCCATGCGTGTGTAAGAGGCGACTAAAATGCCGGAGCAAGGGGCTAGTAACCTCTTCTCCTGTATATTACTAACATGTAAAAGGAGAAACTTTCGTTTTTCCTTTTGGGCCACCTGCCTCGGTGGGATACGGCTGGTGTGTTGAATGAAAGAATATATATATATAAATATATATATATATATATATATATAAATATACTATATAATATTATTTATATATATATATAGATATATATATATTAATATATCATATAAATATATATATATATATATATATATATATACTATAAAATATAAAGGAGCACAAATATATATTGTGTGTGTGATAACTTGTTCGGACTGCCATGCCAAACATACAATACATGTGAAAATTAAACAAATTTGAATATACACACATACAAATAATCTCAAATATACGAATATACATACATTACGAAACAAAAAAATGAAATATACAATCAAAATAAGGGGTCTGGATATACATATGTATGACGGATATTTGAATACTGGATGTGTTGTTTGTGTTGCTTGTGTTCTGACAGAGAGGGATTCAGTGCTCAGAGGAAGACCAGATGGAATTATAACACCCACCCGCAGGTGGGCCTAAACACCAGCTGGTGGTACCATATCCGCTCACGGGTGAAGGGGGACACCAGCTGGTAATAAAATATTCGCTCTCAGGTGGTGAAATGAGAATAGAGCTAATATCTTGGCACTGTGGTCCACAGGTAGAGGGGTTAAGGATGGAAAGTAAGTACCAGCTGATCATCACTGCCGTCAACGATAAGGGTACCAGCAGTGCCACCCATCTCACCGTCAGTAGCATTGGCACTAACGGCTCTGTCTACCAGCTGCATGGTAAGTGTCTGGTTACTAAATAGTCAAACGACAGTTCGTATCCCTTGTAAAACAGAATTTAATGACTATTTCTCTTCACGCTAAAGAGCTTAATCACCTTGTTTCTCACACTAAACTAGGAACATAGGTGTTGCAACTTAAATACAGTATTTTTCGGCATATAAGGCGCGCCTTTTTTCCCGCAAAAAAGTCTTGGAATATCACCCTGCGCCTTTTATGCTCAAGGTCAGGGTCAAAGATAGGCTCTGTGTTACGCTTTAGCGTAAAGTAAGAAGGTAATTAATCCTTGAATATTATTACTGATTTACCGTTATGATACTTCTATCGTGCGTCTTATATGCCCGAAAATACGGTATGTTAGATACTGAAGATAAAGAAACATTTAATAGAACAAGCCTTTCCTGGGACAACGTTTTGCTCTGTGTTGAACCTGTCAAGTGCGACGGTTTAGTTTACCTGGAGAGAGAGAGAGTTCCGGGGGTCAACGCCCCCGCGGCCCGGTCTGTGACCAGGCCTCATGGTGGAGCCAGCATTAGCAGCCTGATCAACCAGGCTGCTACTGCTGGCTAGTGGTGACAGTCGCGATTCTTATCATCCAAGTCAAGGAATCAAATCCCTGATACTGAAAGAATGAAAATAAATCTGTGCTAAGTTTTTACACGTTCTGAGCTAATAAAGTTCTATTTAAAGCGGAAAGTTGTTTTAGTACAGACTTGTTCTGTTGATGTTTCGTGTTCAGTGATGTCGGTAGTGAGACCCAGTGTGAGAGTGGTGTATGCTGGGGTATTGTCACGGTGTGCATGATACAACTAGCTGTGGGGTGCGCTGTGCATGATACAACTGGCTGTGGGGTGCGCTGTGCATGATACAACTAGCTGTGGGGTGCGCTGTGCATGATACAACTGCTGTGGGTGCGCATGTGCATGATACAACTGGCTGTGGGGTGCGCAGTGCATGATACAACTAGCTGTGGGGTGTGCAGTGCATGATACAACTAGCTGTGGGGTGCGCAGTGCATGATACAACTGGCTGTGGGGTGTGCAGTGCATGATACAACTAGCTGTGGGGTGCGCTGTGCATGATACAACTGGCTGTGGGGTGCGCTGTGCATGATACAACTAGCTGTGGGGTGCGCTGTGCATGATACAACTGGCTGTGGGGTGCGCAGTGCATGATACAACTGGCTGTGGGGTGCGCAGTGCATGATACAACTAGCTGTGGGGTGTGCAGTGCATGATACAACTAGCTGTGGGGTGTGCAGTGCATGATACAACTAGCTGTGGGGTGTGCAGTGCATGATACAACTAGCTGTGGGGTGCGCAGTGCATGATACAACTAGCTGTAGGGTGTGCAGTGCATGATACAACTAGCTGTGGGGTGCGCAGTGCATGATACAACTAGCTGTGGGGTGCGCAGTGCATGATACAACTAGCTGTGGTGTGTGCAGTGCATGATACAACTAGCTGTGGGGTGTGCAGTGCATGATACAACTAGCTGCGGGGTGTGCAGTGCATGATACAACCAGCTGTGGGGTGTGCAGTGCATGATACAACTAGCTGTGGGGTGCGCAGTGCATGATACAACTAGCTGTGGGGTGCGCAGTGCATGATACAACTAGCTGTGGGGTGTGCAGTGCATGATACAACCAGCTGTGGGGTGTGCAGTGCATGATACAACTAGCTGTGGTGTGTGCAGTGCATGATACAACTAGCTGTGGTGTGTGCAGTGCATGATACAACTAGCTGTGGGGTGTGCAGTGCATGATACAACTAGCTGTGGGGTGTGCAGTGCATGATACAACCAGCTGTGGGGTGTGCAGTGCATGATACAACTAGCTGTGGGGTGCGCAGTGCATGATACAACTGGCTGTGGGGTGTGCAGTGCATGATACAACTAGCTGTGGGGTGTGCAGTGCATGATACAACTAGCTGTGGGGTGTGCAGTGCATGATACAACTAGCTGTGGGGTGCGCAGTGCATGATACAACTAGCTGTGGGGTGTGCAGTGCATGATACAACTAGCTGTGGGGTGTGCAGTGCATGATACAACTAGTTGTGGGGTGCGCAGTGCATGATACAACTAGCTGTGGGGTGCGCAGTGCATGATACAACTAGCTGTGGGGTGTGCAGTGCATGATACAACTAGCTGTGGGGTGCGCAGTGCATGATACAACTAGCTGTGGGGTGCGCAGTGCATGATACAACTAGCTGTGGTGTGTGCAGTGCATGATACAACTAGCTGTGGGGTGTGCAGTGCATGATACAACTAGCTGCGGGTGTGCAGTGCATGATACAACCAGCTGTGGGGTGTGCAGTGCATGATACAACTACTGTGGGTGCGCAGTGCATGATACAACTAGCTGTGGGGTGCGCAGTGCATGATACAACTAGCTGTGGGGTGTGCAGTGCATGATACAACCAGCTGTGGGGTGTGCAGTGCATGATACAACTAGCTGTGGTGTGTGCAGTGCATGATACAACTAGCTGTGGTGTGTGCAGTGCATGATACAACTAGCTGTGGGGTGTGCAGTGCATGATACAACTAGCTGTGGGGTGTGCAGTGCATGATACAACCAGCTGTGGGGTGTGCAGTGCATGATACAACTAGCTGTGGGGTGTGCAGTGCATGATACAACTAGCTGTGGGGTGCGCAGTGCATGATACAACTAGCTGTGGGGTGCGCAGTGCATGATACAACTAGTTGTGGGGTGTGCAGTGCATGATACAACTAGCTGTGGGGTGCGCAGTGCATGATATAACTAGTTTGGGGTGCGCAGTGCATGATACAACTAGCTGTGGTGTGTGCAGTGCATGATACAACTAGCTGTGGGGTGTGCAGTGCATGATACAACTAGCTGTGGGGTGTGCAGTGCATGATACAAACAGCTGTGGGGTGTGCAGTGCATGATACAACTAGCTGTGGGGTGCGCAGTGCATGATACAACTAGCTGTGGGGTGCGCAGTGCATGATACAACTAGCTGTGGGGTGTGCAGTGCATGATACAACCAGCTGTGGGGTGTGCAGTGCATGATACAACTAGCTGTGGGGTGCGCAGTGCATGATACAACTAGCTGTGGGGTGCGCAGTGCATGATACAACCAGCTGTGGGGTGCGCAGTGCATGATACAACTAGCTTTGGGGTGCGCACTGCTGTCTTACAACAACTGCCACAATATTTCACGACAGGGGACAGAAAAATTAGTATCCCATTATGATCGATGATTGTATTATTAAGTAAGCTTAATATTTATGATGAAATTGCCATCTTTGGTGGGTGTGCGGCGCTCGCCTAGCACACCCTGGATGGTTTAGTTCTTATGATACATTATTATAGAGGATAATATTGAAAATTAAGGTAAAAACTCCCACGGGTTTAAGACACTACGGCCACGGACATATAAATGAGTATTGACAAAAAATAATGGTTTTTGTTGGCCACACAGACGGCCCTCTGGAGGCAGAGGTCCGAGACGGGGGCAAAAATGGTGTGGGCAGCGAAGGAGTAGCAGCAGTGGGTGATGGAGGCGGGGCCTTCCTGGAGGCGCTGGCAGTTCCTTCCTTCATCATGGGCGTGCTAGGCGTGGGCTCAGGCCTGGTGTTGCTGGTGATCCTCCTGCTGCTCTTCATTACTTTCCGCAGAAACAGAGCGCCTCAGCCTCGTCCACTGGCTGACACGCTCCACCACATCAGCACCACGGAAAACCTGGGAGGGAGCAGCAATTCACCCAGGCGAAGTCACAGCTCACCAGTACTAACACCAGAACACCACACTACCTGCCTTGAGAGAGATGTAACGGTGAGCACCAGAGTACTGGTAGACACAGTCGACATCAAGCTTCTATTATACACGACCGTTCATTCTATGTAGACCATTATTGTAATAAAGTTGATAGAATTACCGACAATATGTAAAGTAAAAGGACACAAGTGCAACTAATGTGACATTTATTGTGGCAACGTTTCGCTTGATAAAGCTCCTGGAGAGCGAAACGTTGCCACAATAAATGTCACATTAGTTGCACTTGTGTCCTTTTACTAGACCATTATTATTACTAGTAGAAGCGTTATAATTATTTTTACTTATGACTGGCTGTATGACCAGTATTTATACCTAAATAATGTATATTAGAGCTGATTTCCTCTAGTTTGTTTATTTCAATATACAGTACACTACTGAATAAACATTTAAAAATATACCAGAAATATTGTAAATGGAGCAAAGGCAACATTAAAACAATATCTAAGATGCTTGACACACACCCACTACCATTATAGCATACTCCTCACTTAGCGACGAATTCACTTAAAGACGTGATCTTAGCAACGTAACTCCGTCATTGATTGAGGAGAGACTGTATTATTAAATTATAAATGTGTAAGGAGTGACAGAATCTGAAAAATTTATTTGTATTCTATGAGATACAAAATAACTTCTTAATTCGAGAAAAGGAAAATCCAATGGAAAACACTGATGTTTTCAGAGATTACGATAGTTATAATTTTGGGTTCCCTAGCTCGCTATTCACGGAACAGAAACTCTACTGTGGTAGCCTGACTCACCCCTCACTCTAGACTGAACTTTGCCAAGTCATAGACAGAGTAACGCGACAGACAGCACCTAACCCCTGACCTCGGCTTCACCACTCACAGGAAGAGTCGGAGAGTGATGCAGACCCCGACATCATTCCCCTTCAGGAGACCTGCAGGTGTTGTGAGGTGGAGATGGTGCCAACATCTACCGTCCTGCCTTCGGTGCCAGCAGTTACCGTGCTACCCTCGGTGCCAGCAGCTACCGTGCTGCCCTCAGATCGCTACACGTACGCCCACGTGCCTGCCCTCCTTCCACCCTCTGTGAGTGTTCTACAGTGTATATTTTGCACCTAAAATCAATTTTGTTATTGCGATACTACGCACAAGTTCTAAGACAGACAGGGCCATTAGACTGCACGAACCTCGGTATCTATTCTTTATTAAAAAATATACATCTAAGATTATTTTGATTATTTTGATTATTTTGATTATTTTGATTATTTTGATTATTTTGATTATTTTGATTATTTTGATTATTTTGATTATTTTGATTATTTTGATTATTTTGATTATTTTTATTTTTATTAATTATTATTATTATTATTATTATTTATTATTATTTTTATTTATTATTATTATTATTATTATTATTATTATATTTACAAAACTCACTAAGCTCGTATGGGTACTATTAACGTAGTTTATAATCCTGGCGACGTTTTGGACTATCCTAGAACGTCAAGTCACAAAGAGGAGAAGAAAAAAGCCGGAAATCAAGTCAGGGCAGCGGTAAGAGAGAAGACAGCCAAGGTGTTGCTCAGACACCCGTCTATTGAAAATGACAGCACTTGACAGTGTAGTGGGAGAGGCAAGGACATGAGACACTAAGCCTGAGACAGAATCATCCTAGTGTTTCCACTCTCTGACCTTCTAACTCTTCAGTCTCCTCCAGTCCGTTTTTGTCGATCTTTAAGAACATTGCTCCATCCATCAAGTTTAAGGCTGAATGGGAATCTTACTTCCCATCTCATTTCCTAGATTTTCATGTCCACCGCTCTGTGACTGACTCTTCATTTTTTTTACCCCAGTCTCTCCATTCCGCAATTTCCTTCCTTTTGCGGTTTATTCTTTCGTCTTGGCAATCCTCCTACTTTCATATACTCTGCCTAGTCTCGTGTCAATGGTTTTGTCTCGCTCTAAAATTCATTTTATTTGTCCATCGAGAATACCTGCCAATTTACCTTCATTGTTGTTTTAATTTGTCGAACCTTAGTAATATATTTCCACTTCTTCATATTATATGTTTTATTAATCCGAGTATTACACTTTGCAATGGTTTGATTCACATTTCTGCTCCCACCAGTTTCTCAAGCGTTAACTCTATTTCTTGTTCCTCAAGCGTCTACTCCATTTCCTGTTCTTCTCACTCTCTTCTGTACCGGTGGAACGGATGTTGTTTTATTGACAGATCTGAAAACTAAAATAAGTGTTCAAAGTGCTGTCACTACCAACAGCCTCGACCTGTGCAGGAGGAAGGGTAAACAAATAAGGATAGTCGCATGCTGGTATAGATCCCGCGTTGTTTTGGTGTGCATCACCTGGCAGATGGACAAGTGTTCCTTCTTTGACGTAGGCGTCCACACAGCATTTTAGGAGACTATGCTTACCGTCTTGTTGCGTCAGTTCTGGTATGCAACATTGCTAGTATGAATCTTAACACCGGTCAGTTCTGGTATGCAACGTTGCTAGTATGAATCTTAGCACCGGTCAGTTCTGGTATGCAACATTGCTAGTATGAATCTTAACACCGGTCAGTTCTGGTATGCAACATTGCTAGTATGAATCTTAGCACCGGTCAGTTCTGGTATGCAACGTTGCTAGTATGAATCTTAACACCGGTCAGTTCTGGTATGCAACATTGCTAGTATGAATCTTAAAACAGGCTTTTCGTTGATTCGTGCCTTTTCAAGCACACTTTTCTCAAGATTAATGGGCCGAACACATCGTTTCCAAGGTTCAGGGACTGATTAACTCATTCTTTCCCTGACCTTTCACCGTTATTCTCTGTATCGGATTGAAGAAGCCTAATAATAATAATAATAATAATAATAATAATAATAATAATAATAATAATAATAATAATAATAATATATAATAATAATAATAATAATAATAATAATAATTATTATTATTATTATTATTATATTATTATTATTATTATTATTATTATTATTATTATCATTATTATTTTTATTATTTCCACAAGTACATGTACAAGGTACACTGGCCTAGCAGACATCAATGACATACTACTATTCTAAAGAGTGATGAGACGGCAGATTACAAATTTCATGGAGCAGCACAACCAGCATAACCCGAGCCAGCATGGTTTTAGAGCAGGACGATCATGTCTGTCACAGCTGCTGAACCATTATGACAGAATTACGGAGGCCTTGGAAGACGACCTGAACGCAGATGTGATTTACACAGATTTTGCAAAAGCGTTTGACAAATGTGATTATGGAGTGATAGCGCACAAAATGAGGGCTATGGGGAAGGTAGGAAGATGAATTTTCGGGTTCCTAACACACAGAACACAAAAAGTACTAGCGGGCAGAGCAAGATCCAGCATCAGCGAGGTCAAAAGCTCAGTGCCCCAAGGCACTGTCCTGGCACCTCTGCTGTTTCTCATCCTCATAGCAGACATAGATAAAAACACTCGTCACACTTTGGTATCATCATTTGCAGATGACACTAAAATAAGCATGAAAGTCAGTACGGTAGAGAACACTGAAAAATTCCAGGAAGACATAAACAGGGTTTTCCAGTGGGCAGTGGAGAACAACATGACTTTCAATGGTGATAAGTTCCAGCTGCTTAGGTATGAAAAGAATGAAGAACTCAAAAGGAACACTATATGCAAAACTCAAGAAGGTCACCAAATAGAACGAAAGGAACACGTAAAAGACCTGGGAATAATTATGTCAGCAGACCTTTCTTTTAATGACCATAACAAGACAAAGATCACGACAGCCAGGAAGATGACGGGGTGAGTATTGAGAACTTTCAAAACAAGGGAAATAATGCCGATGGTGACACTTCAAATCGCTAGTGCCTCTTCATTTAGAATATTGCTCAGTACTGACGGCCCTGTTATAAGCAGGATAAATATCAGAGCTGGAACAAATACAGAGATCGTTTACGGCTCACATTGAGCCAGTAAAGCACTTAAATTACTGGGAGCTCCTTCAAATCTTGAACATGTACTCAATGATCGGAGAAGTGGCAGATGCAGTTTAATATAGACAAATGCAAAGTTCTAAATGTTGGACAGTTAAATAACCATGCCACATATAAACTAAATAATGTAGATCTTAATACTTCCTGATTGCGAAAAGGATTTGGGAGTTCTGGTTAGCAGTAATCTAAAACCAAGACAACAGTGCATTAATGTTCGCAATAAAGCTAACAGAATTCTTGGCTTCATATCTAGAAGTATAAATAATAGAAGTCCTCAGGTTGTTCTTCAACTCTATATATCCTTGGTTAGGCCTCATTTAGACTATACTGCTCAGTTCTGGTCACCGTATTACAGAATGGATATCTTGGTGCAGACCTGAAATCAACTTCGACAACCTCTACTAGTGAGAACGGCTGGATTTGAGAGGGACCTGACCTAACAACATCTGCGTTCTACTAGTGACCTACGTCTCACCTCCTGGCGCTATATAAGGCTCCATCCTGTCACTTCAACTCCCACAAGATGATGGTAGACAAGGCTGAGGAGGAGATGTGCCAGTGCTGTCAGCACGTTGTCCATCGGCCCCTAGCACACTATCTTCTAGAGTGCGAAGCTACTGAGACACTCCGCAGGCAACTAGGGGTGATATTCCCTCCCGAAGAGGACCCAGAGATGACTGTGGCCACACTAGTGTACCATGGGGTCAACGAACCAGACAAGCTGTTACCTGTAATAATGACATATCCTCCTCCTCGCTAGTGTCCATAGTTACATATGGTGTCGCTTATGAGATGCACCAGTTGAACTGACCAGAGGGGCGCTGAGCGCATGCGTCACATCATTGTGGAAACCCCTTTCTCCATCGGAGCCAGAGACGGTCATCGCAAGATTGGGACCCGCCAGACTATGGTCTTGGCGAACATTATACATACATACTTCAACTCCATATTGTTTCAGACTATGGAACAATGCTCTTCTCCAGACTGAGGGACTGACCACCTCAAAACTTTAAGGGTGATGACTGATTACATCGCCCTTCAATCCTTCTGCTTCTATAAACTTTTCTGTTCCTCGACTGAAAAGCCTACTGTGTAGGCGAAACGTTTGAAATAAAGATACCTAACTGTTGCATATGTGTCTTACCTAACAACAGAATGGACATAAATGCTCTGGAAAATGTATAGAGGGGGATGACAAAGATGATCCTATGTATCAAAACCCTTCCAATAGGATAGACTGAGGCCCTGAATCTGCACTCTTTCGAAAGGCGTAGAATTAGGGGGGATATGATCGAGATGTATAAATGGAAAACAGGAATAAATAAAGGGGATGTAAATATCGTGCTGAAAATTTCCAGCCAAGACAGGACTCGCAGCAATGATTTCAAGTTGGAAAAAATCAGATTCAGGAAGGATATAGGAAAGCACTGGTTTGGTAATAGAGTTGTGGATGAGTGGAACAAACTCCCGAGTACAGTTATTTAGGCTAAAACGTTGTGTAGTTTTAAAAATAGGTTAGATAAATACATGAGTGGGTGTGGGTGGGTGTGAGTTGGACCTGACTAGCTTGTGCTGCTGGGTCTGGTGCCGTGCTCCATCCTTGAGTGGAAATATAATCACATATGCAGTATAATGTGATCCTTTATTGACAACGTTTCGCCCACACAGTGGGCTTTTTCAAGTCACAAACAGATCTGTAGATGAATGGTTCAAAGAACTACCTGGGGTGGAAGGTAAGCGAGTATTTTCTCCATCGCTATCCCACATAAGAACATAGGAATGGAAGAACTCTGCAGAAGATCTGCTCACAAACTTATCCAATCTCCCTTCCAAGCTACCCAAGATTTTAGACTCTATAACCCCACTCGGTACATCATCAGATGCAGCATTCTCCACCTGACCTCAACATTCTGAACCTGACTATAAATACTCGCGTACCTTCCACCCCCGGTAGATCTGTTTGTGACTTGAAAAAGCCCACTGTGTGGGCGAAACGTTGTCAATAAAGGATCACATTATACTGCATATGTGTTTATATTTCCATTGTGTCGGTATTTTATACCATTTACTTCCATCTTCCTTGAGTGGAGGTGACCAGACTGGGTGGGTCATTGGGCTAACCCGGGAAGGGTGGGTCATTGGACTAATCCGGGGGGGGGAATGGACCTACTCCGCATGGGTCAGTAGGCCTGTTGCAGTGTTCCTTCTTTCTTATGTTCTTATGTTCTTATGATAAATTATACCTGGAAAGTACTTGAGGTCCTGGTCCCAAATCTGCACACTTCCATAACATACTGGAGTGAGAGATATGGGAGGGAGTGTAAAATAAACCCAGTGAGGAGCAGGAGTGCGGTGGGGACAATAAGAGAACACTGTATCAACATCCGGGGTCCCAGATTATTCAACATCTTACCAGAAGATATCAGAAACACGGCTGGAACAAGTGTAGAAGCCTTCAAGAAGAAACTGGACAAGTATCTTCGCCAGCAAATATCTTCCCACCAGCAATAAGGGGCATTACGGGAAGACCCCTGGTTGTCTTCAAGAGGGAGCTGGACAGATACCTAAAGTCGGTGCCGGATCAGCCGGGCTGTGGTTCGTACGTTGGATTGCGTGCGGCCAGCAGTAACAGCCTCGTTGATCAGGCCCTGATCCACCAGGAGGCCTGGTCGTGGACCGGGCCACGGGGGCGTTGATCCCCGGAATGCCCTCCAGGTAGACTCCAGGTAGGTGCCAGATCAACCAGGCTGTGATAGATATGTGGTTTCAGCAGGCCTCCAGCACAACAGCCTGGTTGACCAGGCAAGCACCAGACGAGCCTGGCCCATGGCCGGGCTCCGAGAGTAGCGAAACTCTCGAAACTCTTCAAAGGTATATGAAAGGTAAGAAAGCCCCTTCTCATACAGAGCATTTTGGGCAAATTGGATCAATTTAGTCCCGTGATGCGACCCACACCAGGCGGTCGACTAACACCTGACTTTGGAACTGAACTTCTCCAGGCTGAGGGACTGACAACCTCAAATTCTACGACTTTAAGGGTGATGGACTGATTACATCGTCTTCACATCTCTACTGTTCCTGCCTACTTTCTGTATTCGACTGAAGAAGCCTACTGTGTAGGCGAAACGTTTCGGAATAAAGTTGTCTAACTGTTGCATATGTGTCTTACCTAACAACACCCAGGTACCCATTTTATACTGATGAGTTAAACATTAAAATGGTATAAAATACCGACAGGTTGTTAGGTAAGACACATATGCAACAGTTAGGTATCTTCGTCTTCAAGTATCTTCTGCTTCTATCAACTTTTCTGTACTTGACTGAAGAAGCCTACTGTGTAGGCGAAACGTTTCATAATAAAGATACCTAACTGTTGCATATGTGTCTTACCTAACACACTGATGAGTTAACATGGATAGCAGGTGTCTTATGCAAACACGTCCTAATATTTTCCAGCCGTACCAGGGATTCCAACTCCGGATCTCAGCGTACGAACTGACTGCCCTAGCGATCGAGCTTAACTTTCTGGCTTTTTACATGATAATCATCCAGAACGGATCGAAATATTGTCTCGTTTACACTTCTAATTTGAAGGAGAGGTGACAGAAAATAGCGTACTGCTGCCACAGTAGTTTATAAAAGGCACTACAGATGACGTATCGACATGTTAAGATCTTCATCAAATCATTTTAAAGATTCCCAGGGATTGAAACGTCTTCCCGCTGATGGTTTCTTTTGCAAAGTTTCTCATGAAGGCGAGTTATAACTTGCTCCAACCACTGTTCTGTGGCCCTATTTTTTATTAAATAACATAATAAGGCACAATACCGTGACTGGAACGATACACAAATAACCCGAACATAAAAGAGAGAAGCTTACGATGACGTTTCGGTCCGACTTGGATCATTTACAAAGTCACACTGGTCTAAGTCGGACCAAAACGTCGTCGTAAGCTTCTCTCTTTTATGTGCGGGTTATTTGTGTATTGTTTATCAGGTTTATTTATTAGGTCTAAGAAGTTAGGCGAACGATTGAATTATTCAACGTCATTTTTTAATGCTGTCATCGTGTGTGCTGGGACGACAAACTACGATTTAAAACATATTTTTGTTTGTACTAACTTGTTTCTTTTCCCCCGTGATGCTGAGGGTCGTCATGGTGGGTGTCACCACCACCACCATCACCATCTCCCCCAGGTGTGAGGCGGGACACCTGGGGGAGGGTCTTAGCCAGACCCTGCACCACACCAGGCCACCTGCCCTCACAACACACAGCTCAGGTGAGGTGTTGGTGAGGTCAGATTGAGAGGTTGGTAAGGTGAGAGGGAGAGGTTGGTGAAGTAAAAGTAAGAGAGAGAGAGGGGGTTAATAAGGTGAGAGTAAGAGAGAGAGGGGGGGGTTATTAAGGTGAGAGTAAGAGAGAGGGAGGGGGTTATTAAGGTGAGAGTAAGAGAGAGGGAGGGGGTTATTAAGGTGAGAGTAAGAGCGAGGGAGGGGGTTATTAAGGTAAGAGTAAGAGAGAGGGAGGGGGTTATTAAGGCGAGAGTAAGAGAGAGGGAGGGGGGTTAATAAAGTAAAAGTAAGAGAGAGGGAGGGGGTTAATAAGGTGAGAGTAAGAGAGAGGAGGGGGGTAATAAGGTAAGAGTAAGAGAGAGGGAGGGGGTTAATAAGGTGAGAGTAAGAGAGAGTGAGGGGGTTAATAAGGTGAGAGTAAGAGAGAGTGAGGGGGTTAATAAGGTGAGAGTAAGAGAGAGGGAGGGGGGCTAATAAGGTGAGAGTAAGAGAGAGGGAAGGGGTTAATAAGGTGAGAGTAAGAGAGAGGGAGGGGGGTTAATAAGGAGAGAGTAAGAGATGAGAAAGGTTGGTGGAGTTAAAAGTTGGTAATGGTAAGCTTTCCTGTTGGTGATTTTCCTGTTGCAACTCTTAAAATAAAAATGATAAAACTCCTTTCGTAATATGTTAAATAGTGACAAGTGCTATCAGATCACTTCCACACAAGCAGTAAGTGCCTTGTAACTTTCTCCAGCCATATAGAATTTACATCTCATGACATAAAAGTTTATTTTAACATTTCTGTAACTTAACATATCGTCTCTGCCAGTCTTGAGAATATTCTAATTCATTGTAATTCTAATAGGTCGATCATCGTGGGATTCCCCATAACTCAAGCTGGTAATACTTTGACGACAACGATAAGGAATATTGCTGTAACAGGAAGACGAGGAAGAAGACACCAGTCGGAACTCAGAATATTGTTATAGCTCCCTGTAACAGGGAGCTATATCAGGGAGCTGTAACAAGGACCTGTAACAGGGAGCTGTAACAAGGAACTGTAACAGGGACCTGTAACAGGGAGCCGTAACAGGGAGGTTACAAGCTAATTACAAGAGTTTTAACGAAAATCGTCCAGGCTGACTAGAGGTCATCGTGAGAACCTCCAGTGAAGCTGGAGGTCACACTGAGTGAGAACCTTCAAGCCAAGTACAAGTTATCGTGAGAACCTCCAAGTCACATCAATCTCCAGGACAGTTTTTGAGAGACAGAGAGCTTGGAGGTCGATTACTGGGTCTAGCAAAAGAAAACTTAGACGTCAACTATGGAAACCTGTGCAAGAAACTGGAGGTCGACTGTAGGGACTATTGCGAGAAAACTTGGAGGTCGAATACAGCGTCTTGTATTAAGAAATAAAGGTCGATACAGGGTCATGTCCAAGATAAATTGGAGGTCGACTACTGGGTCTTGTGAAAGAGAACTTGGAGGTCGACTACTGAGTCTTGTTAAAGAGAACTTGGAGGTCACCTACTGGGTCTTGTGAGAGAGAACCTAGAGGTCGACTACTGGGTCTTGTGAGAGATTACCTAGAGGTCGACTACTGGGTCTTGTGAAAGAGAACTTAGAGGTCGACTACTGGGTCTTGAGAGAAAGAACCTAGAGGTCGACTACTGGGTCTTGTGAAAGAGAACTTGGAGGCCGACTACTGGGTCTTGTGAGAGAGAACTTGGAGGTCGAATACTGGGTCTTGTGAGAGAGAACTTGGAGGTCGACTACTGGGTCTTGTGAGAGAGAATTAGGAGGTCAACTACTGGGTCTTGTGAGAGAGAATTAGGAGGTCGACTACTGGGTCTTGTAAGAGAGAACTTAGAGGTGGACTACGGGATCCAGAGTGAGAAAGCTTGAGGTCGGCTACAGGGTTGAGTGTGACTGGAGGTCTACTACAGGGTCGAGAGTGATTGAAGGTTGACTATAGGGTCGAGTGTGGTTGGAGGTTGACTATAGAACTATAGGTCGATTACAGGGTCGAGTATTTAACTATAGGTCGATTACAGGGTCGAGTATAACAGGAGGTCGACCACAGGCTTGATCGACTGTTCTACTGGAGGACACCTACAGGGTCGAGTGTTTGACTGGAGGTCGACTACAGGGTTGAGTGTGACAGTAAGTCAGCTACAGGATCGAGTATTTTACTTGAGGTCGACTATAGGGTCGAGGGTGACAAGAGGTCGACTACAGAGCCGAGTGCTTGACTGGAGGTCAACTACAGAGTCACGTGTTTTACTGAGGGCCGGTTACAGAATCGAGTGTTTTACCGGAGGTCGACTACAGGGCCGAGTGTTTTACCGGAGATCGACTACAGGGTCGAGTGTGAGAGTAGGTCAACTACAGGGTCGAGTATTTTACTTGAGGTTGACTACAAGTTCGAGTGTTTTACTAAATGTCGACTACAGGGTCGAGCGTGACTGGAGGTCGACTACAAGGTCAAGTGTTTTACTGGAGGTAGACTACGGGGAAGAGTGTAACAGTAGGTTTAACACAGGGTCGAGTGTTTTACTGAAGGTCGACTACAGAGTCGAGTGTTTTACTAAAGGTCGACTACATGATCAAGTGTTTTACTGGAGGTAGACTACAAGGTCCAGTGTGACTGGAAGTCGACTACAAGATCGAGTGTGACTAGAGGTCGACTACGGGGTCGAGTGTGACTGGAGGTCGACTACGGGGTCGAGTGTGACTGGAGGTCGACTACAGCATCCACAACATAGACACAGGTAAACAATATACTCTCGTTCCAGTTTTCGCATCATTTTTTATTTCCTTTTGAAGACCTAGACCCGTATGGGCTGGTAAACGGATCCTCTGTTTACCAGCCGGCAGGACCGAGCGTTTTCCAGCTGTTACGCTGACCCACACGGGTTTACTCCTTTATTTTCTAAATGTGACGTAATGCGTACATAGATACACAGAACAATGCAATGTAAACAGTGCTAAGAAAAAATGTAAATCGTTTACGATTTACATTGCTAAATCGTTTACGATTTACACTGATTTATTTTGGTTCCTCCAAAACACGAATATCTATTCATTTAACAAATCTTCAACGGGTAATAACGTTTAAATATTGCGCAACAACAGTTAACGGTAGTTAAATACGCATCACAACACATAGCAACAGTTAAAAGGGACAGATAACGAAAATGAGTCCCCCATACGTTAAGAGGTCAAACACACACACACACACACACACACACACACACACACACACACACACACACACACACACACACACACACACACACACACACACACACACCACCTGTCACTTTTGTTAGCATGCGATATACTTGCTTATCCATTTCAGTAAGCAACTGAAGTCAGCAGCGGAGCCTGTCAAGATCAGAGTCAGCAGCCTGGGAGTTCAACCAACCAATGAAGTCAGTATGCAGTTAATTCCTCCATCAGTAGAGTCAGCAATTAGTTCCAGCATCAGTGAAGTCAGCAGTGAGGTCCTGCCTGGGTGGACTGAGGGAGATAAACTTAAGACACGTCTTCACTGAAGTGTGTGGCTGATGGACCTCGCACGACACAGAGGTCGTTCATTACATCAGGGGTCGTTCATACCACGATAAGAGGTCGTTCATTACACGATGGGTCGATCATACCACGATAGAAGGTCGTTCATTATACGTTGGGTCGTTCATACCACGATAAGAGGTCGTTCATTACACGAGGGATCGTCCACCAAAGGGTGGGAAGTTATCACACGAGAGGTGGTTCACACCACAAGGGAGAGGTCGTCCATCACATGGAGGTCGTTCATCACATAAGGAGTCATTCATACCACAAGGGAGAGGTCGTTCTTCACACGAGGTCATCCATCACACGAGAAGTCGTTCATACCACAAAGGAGAGGTCGTTCATCACTCGAGGGATCGTTTATACCACAAGGAAGAGGTCGTCCATCATACGAGAGATCTTTCATACCACAGGCGAGAGGTCGTTCGTCTTGACTCAAGGAATTGTTCCTACCTTCACTGGACCAGCCCTAAACACCTACCATTCTCCAGGTGGTGCATGATGCCTCCGGGTTTAGCGCTGTATTTAGTGCATAAATTTCCAGACGACTTCCTATCATTCACAATGAAGTGCAAAACCCATGTGGAGGTAAAGGAGGGCCACTAATCACAGGGAGTTGTATAGGCTCGATTCTCCGTTTCCGAAATCTCAATCTCAAGTCAGCACCAGAAGGTCTACAGATCTCAAGAAGGGAAGCAAATTTATATATATATATATATATATATATATATATATATATATATATATATATATATATATATATATATATATATATATATATATATATATATATAAGAAATCCAAATATTCTTCCTTGAAGCCTTTTTATCCACTTCTCCGAGGCTATGGGTCCCACAATTTACACCAGAGGTGGACCCCATTTATATATATATATATATATATATATATATATATATATATATATATATATATATATATATATATATATATATAATATATAATTATATGTATATATATATATATATATATATATATATATATATATATATATATATATATATATATATATATATATATATACATTTCTTTTTTCATTTTATTTTATTTTGTGTGCTGCTGAAAAATGTTTAATAATTCTAATTTTTAATATATATTTTTAGTGTTGGCAAATAAAAAAAAAAATGGAAACTTATTCACTGCAGCTTCCATTTTTTGTATTATTATTATTTTTTGTGCAGCGCTAAACTCGTGTGGCTTTATGGAACTGATGGTACATACGGTACGTCAGAAGCACGTCTGTCAGGATGCTCTAGGGTACGTCAGAAGCACGTCTGTCAGGATGCTCTAGTATACGTCAGACTCACGTCTGCCAGGATGCTCTAGTATACGTCAGACGCACGTCTGCAAGGATGCTCTAGTATACGTCAGACGCACGTCTGCCAGGATGCTCTAGTATACGTCAGACGCACGTCTGCCAGGATGCTCTAGTATACGTCAGCCTCACGTCTGCCAGGATGCTCTAGTATACGTCAGACGCACGTCTGCCAGGATGCTCTAGTATACGTCAGCCTCACGTCTGCCAGGATGCTCTAGTATACGTCAGACGCACGTCTGCCAGGATGCTCTAGTATACGTCAGACGCACGTCTGCCAGGATGCTCTAGTATACGTCAGACGCACGTCTGCCAGGATGCTCTAGTATACGTCAGACGCACGTCTGCCAGGATGCTCTAGTATACGTCAGACGCACGTCTGCCAGGATGCTCTAGTATACGTCAAACTCACCACTCACAGAGCCAAGTTCTTCATCAGAATAGTATTGAAACCTCGTAATGTTAAGAGAAGGCTCGGGGAGCCTCGTAATGCTAAGACTAGGCTCGGGGAGCCTCGTAATGTTAAGACTAGGCTCGGGGAGCCTCGTAATGCTAAGACTAGGCTCGGGGAGCCTCGTAATGCTAAGACTAGGCTCGGGGAGCCTCGTAATGCTAAGACTAGGCTCGGAGAGCCTCGTCTTACTTCATAATGACTTACGGGTTATTGAATGTCAGTGTACATACTGTATTATTATGTACATATTGTATAGTTATTGTATGTTTTTATTCAGTCATACAACTGTATAAAATTATACGAGTGAAAATGCTTAAATTTTTTATATCAATATATTTGTACAAGTTGCTAATAAAGTTTAAAAATAATAATAATAAAACTTTTTATTTCCTCTCTTTATTAATTGCTAAGAGAACAAGTATACACTGAGAGGTGTATGTCTCTCAGTGTATATACACTGAAAGGTGTATGTCTCTTAGTGTACATACACTGAGAAGTGTATGTCTCTCAGTGTATATACACTGAAAGGTGTATGTCTCTTAGTGTATATACACTGAGAAGTGTATGTCTCTCAGTGTATATACACTGAGAAGTGTATGTCTCTCAGTGTATATACACTGAGAAGTGTATGTCTCTCAGTGTATATACACTGAGAAGTGTATGTCTCTCAGTGTATATACACTGAGAAGTGTATGTCTCTCAGTGTATATACACTGAGAAGTGTATGTCTCTCAGTGTATACACTGAGAAGTGTATGTCTCTCAGTGTATACACTGTGAGAGGTGTATGTCTCTCAGTGTATATACTCTGAGAGGTGTGTCTCTCAGTGTATATACTCTGAGAGGTGTATGTCTCTCAGTGTATATACTCTGAGAGATGTATGTCTCTCAGTGTATATACTCTGAGAGATGTATGTCTCTCAGTGTATATACTCTGAGAGGTGTGTCTCTCAGTGTATATACTCTGAGAGGTGTATGTCTCTCAGTGTATATACTCTGAGAGATGTATGTCTCTCAGTGTATATACTCTGAGAGGTGTGTCTCTCAGTGTATATACTCTGAGAGGTGTATGTCTCTCAGTGTATATATACTCTGAGAGATGTATGTCTCTCAGTGTATATACTCTGAGAGGTGTATGTCTCTCAGTGTATATACTCTGAGAGGTGTATGTCTCTCAGTGTATATACTCTGAGAGGTATGTCTCTCAGTGTATATACTCTGAGAGGTGTATGTCTCTCAGTGTATATACTCTGAGAGGTGTATGTCTCTCAGTGTATATACACTGACAGTTTACTTTGATTCCAGTTATATTAATTAAAATATTCTTGACGAGTCGTGAAAAGGCGACACCGCAGCCTAAAAAATGACTCTCGTGTAGTCGATAGGTTTTTAAACCCCATTAATCAGCTTAACGAAAATCATGGAAATTTATTTCCACTAAAATATCAGGTGAGCTAACTTAGGAATTTATTTAATAGGTTTGCCAAATTATTTCAATAATTGCCACGAATATCGTTACATTGTCAATAAAATTTACGTCTTCTTGTCTGGACGAATAATCAGCTCAGGGAGCACAGACGTAGTAGTCTGTGTTTGTGGACAAACTAATGTTTTGTAATTGGCAAAATAGTCTATGTTGGTAGGAAAGTAGTCTGTGCAGGGGATAAAATAGTATGTGTAGGGAGGAAATTAGTTACGAAGAGACAGAACAGTGCGTTTAGGGGACAAATCATTCTGTGTAGGGACAAAAATAGTCCGTTTATGTGGCAAAACAATTTCCGTAGTGAACAAAGGAAATAGTCTGTGTGAGGGACAGAAACAGTCTGCGTTGAGGCCAAATAATTTGTGCTGGTAATAACAATAGTCTGTGTATAAGACCACAATAATAGTCTGTGTAAACCCCAACAATAGTTTGTGTCGGAGACCATGACAATAGTCTATGTAGGAGACCACAACAATAGTCTGTGTAGGAGACCACAACAATAGTCTGTGTGGGAGACCACAATAATAGTCTGTGTAGACCACAACAATAGTTTGTGTCAGAGACCATGACAATAGTCTATGTAGGAGACCACAACAATAGTCTGTGTAGGAGACTACAACAATAGTTTGTGTAGGAGACCGCAGCAGTAGTCTGTGTAGGAGACCACATCAATAGTCTATGTAGGAGACCACAACAATAGTCTATGTAGGAGACTACAACAATAATCTGTGTAGACCACAACAATAGTTTGTGTGTGAGACCATGACAATAGTCTATGTAGGAGATCACAACAATAGTCTGTGTAGGAAACCACAGCAATAGTCTATGTAGACAACAACAATACTCTGGTCAGGAGACCATAACGATAATCTGTGTAGGAGACCACAACAATAGTCTATGTAGGAGACTACAAAAATAGTCTGTGTAGGAGACTACAACAATAGTCTGTGTAGATAACAATACTCTGGTCAGGAGACCTTAACGATAATCTGTGTAGGCGACCACAGGGCGACAATAATCTATAACCGGTCTCCTGTATCCTGCATAACATTACCCAGAGTACTGTAACCTCGATCCGGTTAAGGGCTCTTGATCCAAGGAATTGGAGACGCTTGCTATTTACTAGGATTACAGCCATTTATATCGAATTTCCAGGTGCCGTATGACGCATGTGGATTTAGCGCTTTCCTCTGGGAAAAAAATTTCCTTCCTAGTGTTGCTGTCTACCTTTGTCGACCAGATATATAATTAGGTATCGAGTAGATAGAGTTGGACTGTCCCTAAGGAGGACATCATTCATTCATATCTGAGGCGAAACTAATTTCTGAAACGCTGTCTTGTTCTCTCTGGTGCTTCCCTGAAACCCAGCTGATTCACTGAAGCCTCGATGGTTCACTGAAGCCTCAATGATTCACTTAATCTTCGCTGGTTCACTGAAGCCTCGCTGGTTTACTGAAGCCTCACTGGTTCACTGAAGCCTCACTGAGTGAAGATAATGTATATCTACCTGACTTACTGAGTCATAGTGATTCCTGACTTGCTGTATCATAGTGACTCCTGACTTACTGTGTCAAAATGACTCTTGACTCATGAAAGGTCTGTCAGTACTGCTTCTGCTAGGAGCTGTCAATACTGCCTTTGCTAGGGACTGTCAGTACTGCGTCTTCTAGGGGCTGCCAGTACTGCCTCTGCTAGGGACTTTCAGCACTGCCTCTGCTAGGGGCTGTCAGTATTGCCTCTGCTATTAGCTGTCAATGCTGCCTCTGCTATGGGCTGTCAGTGCCTCCTCTGCTAGGGGTTGTCCAAACAGAAGCTTGTTCTGCTTGAGCGTTTGGTAACACAGGCCATTCTGAAGTATCAAACTGAATGCAAGACATCTTATGCACAGATAGCCGTAAGACTGAAGTAAAAAAACACCTAGGCAGGTAAAGGACCTGCCTAGTATGGGCCAACAGGCCTCCTGCAGTGTTCCTCCTTTCTTATGTTCTTATGTTCTTATGTAAATACGGTACCAGTAGCTGAGGTCTCTCAGAGGCTGTGAAACGAGAGACTCGGAATGTCCCTAACAATACAAAACAGACCACGAAATAAAACACAGAATGAAACGAACAAGCTGAAGAGAGGACTCAAACAGGTCCAGTGAAAGCTATACTTAACTGCGGCCAGAATACAGGAAATACAAGAGATGAAGCAGGAAATAAAGGAAGAAGAAATAGAAATTATCCTATAGGAGGATTCAGTAACCCGTTAGAACCGATGAGATGAGTGAAAAGGGCTGAGTTTGATTAGTATCTGAGGCATTAAAGCAAATGCTTGTGTAGCGTTGGGGAAAGGTTGGACAAATATGTGGAATATAGTGGGTGGTTTTGAGCAGGACCTGCCTAGTGGGGGCCACTAGGCCTACTGAAGTGTTGTTCCATT